CCCCAAAACCCCAAAACCCCAAAACCCCTTGAAATGACTTTAATGTTTTTAATTAGGTTTTAAGATTTATTTATTATGTATCTTATTTGCTTACTTAGTGCTTGATCAGGACTATTAATGAATTTGAGCATTAATCTTTGATATTTTTACAGGAAGTAACTCATACATTTCAAGCATAATCTAGTATGATTCCTGTACTCCTTGAGGTAGATCTTTGGGTGATGTGATGTTTTTCTCCTTCATAAATTCGATAGTGAACTTCTTAAGTTTTTCATATTCTCTGAAGCTTGATTCCAAATACTACACTTGTTTTTACTTCGATTTGTCATAAAGTTTAGAGTAGATCCTAGCTACACTTAGCTGAATGTTCACTACAGCTTATAGATAGTCAAATTTTTCTTCTTTTTTCATGATTATTTCTACTACATCATGAGAGTAGTAGATGGATCTTTACCCTATTTAATTCAGTTCATCAAAATCTGCTTTCTTTGGAGCTTTTGGACTCTATTTTATCTCATCATACTTAATGTCAAACATGGAAGAGAATATATCACTAAGTTCAGCTTCAAGTTCAATAACTTATACTTCATATGCTTTAGGGTTTATGTCCTTAATGATTGCTTCCAAAAGTTCTCTTCTTCTATCTTGCATAGCAAATACTCTCTATGCGTTTGGTTCAATTATTGCTAAATGCTTGTATAATTTTGATAAATCTTATTTCATTTAGATATGCTCTGTAACATATCCATCTAATACATAGTAATCCATAGCTTTCTTGAACTATGTATTAGCTAGCCTGAATAATAATTTAGCTTACTCAATATCGTTGATATCAGTAATGTGAGGGAATTTCAGCTACAGTTCAGGAAATAGCACAAATTATCTCTCTACTATCTCAGGAATAGCCTCGTTATTTTTGACGTAGTTTTAGACTCCAAATACTAATCTTTCCAAGTAATATCTAGCTAGCTACATTTACAAAGTTGCTCTAAGCTTTCTTTTCTTGCTTAAGTCTCCTGGCAAGATTGAGACTCCTGCAAAGAGACAATATTCCGCTTGAGCAAAATGCCCATTTTTAATGAAATACTCAGATAGGTTAATACAATTAACAGCCCAATCCTTCACATCATATTCCTTAAAAGCTAGCTATCTTTTCATGGTATCAGCACAAAATTGAACTGCCTTTTCATTTTAACCTAATTTAGTGTAAACCTAAGCCATATAAAATAGGGTCAAAGTATAGTTCTTTTCTAACTTAGACTTATCAATTCCTCCATTAATGTAAAAGGCAAAGTCTTATGTTAGAGGCACTCCCTGCTTAGATTATGACTACTCTATTTGACTGAGAAGATATTGATCGAAATCATTTAAAAGTGAAGTATTGTGAGCTTGTGTTGTATTCTCTGTTGAATCAACAACCATCTTATAAATTTACTCTGCTTTCAACAGATAGGGGATTCCCTTTTCATGCGAACCTCTGTTGCAGTAAGTAATCCCAATGTTATTATAGATATCCTATATTGTATTGAAATATCTAATTTTAAGCACATCTGAGATCCTGTCAAATACTTCAAGCGACTCTCTCATAAGAACCTCAGCATCAGAGTATTCTTCGCAGTCAAAGAAATTTAAACCTAACTTAAATTTGACTATGGCGGTAGCGCAATCTATAATTTAGCTTTATTGCTGGCTATTGCTTTTAGGGTTTAGGTAATCATTTTCAAGAAGTTTCTTATATTTTTCTCTAGCTTGGTACTTAAATAAAAATGGTTTTGACTCATCATCATTTAATTTATCCATAAGCTTTTGGCATTCCTCGAGCTCTGCTTAATATTCTGTATGCAACCAAATAGTAAGCTCTACTGCTAGCAAAAGCTAATCTTAATCAACCTTTGCTTCACTATCAAGTTAAAGTTCATTGGTATGCTTTAATACAGCTTATTTTTATTCTTCGAACTCATTTGCTTGATTCCAAAATTCTGATTACTTGAGTTAGTTATCAACTTGAGTAGTCTAAGGAAGGTTTAAGGGATCTGATTCTGTTGTAATTGAAAGATCTGCTTCACTAATATTTTCCATTTTAAATTCAAATATTTATAATTTTCGATTTCTTCGAAGCAAATAATGGGGTTTTGGGGTTTTGGGGTTTTGGGG